GGAATTTTAGAATTAGGATGTGTTAAACCGTGCTAGTTATTGGATGCGTCACCTGAAGCTACAACTCAATCGCAAATCATATTATGTTACGTGGCCGAAATAAGCCCTACATTGAGTTCCTCATGGGAAACACTAGTCATGCAGAATAGACTTGCGAATTTGTCACTACGAAATACGTACTTCTTCGTGTGATTACTTGAAAAGGCCGCAACTAAGCTTCCGGATAATAGTGGACGTGGTAAGCTACATTTAAATGATTGGCTCGCGGAACCGTTAGCAGACAAAATGACACAAGTATGCAACCACCAAAATCACAGCTGTCTAGCTTTTTGGTTACATGTCCATAAGGCAAGCTACTTACTACTTTGCATCTTTGGTTACGTAACATCCGCCCTACTTTCTTACCTACGTGACTTAGCAACGAGGAGCATATGATTGATGTGTTGGTTTTAGACTGCCCGTTGGGTCGCAGTGATCAGTTTTAACTTCGTCTTCCATGCAGAATATCTGAATGATAACGATGATACTGTGTGATCCATCACAAGGTACGACCGACTCGCCCAGCTCGTCAGTGCCACAACCCGGTCTTTCCTCGAAGAATAACCCCCGGAAGTCGCCTGGCTCGAGTTCGTCAACAAATTCAGTCAGGTGATTGCACAGGCTTCAGAGATAAAAGCTTGCAATAAGTGCAAATCAGTTTCTTTCGTTAGGAGCAGAACTCGAAAATGGATGACAGTACGTAACGCAGCAAGGCAAGTGTACAGAGAAGCTCCAGCACTAGAAACGTGGGACAACTACGTAGCCCAAAGTAACCACTGCACTAAACTGTTAAGAGAAGACAAAGCCGCCTATCAGCAGAACATCGCAGAAACCTTCAGTGCTAACCACAAACTGTTGTACAAGCACGTCAATAGCCTACGAAAGGTGAGGCAAGGATTTCCTCCACTCAGGACGGCCGTTGGCTCAACAAGAACGGCTGTGGAAGCAGCAAACGCGCTGCAGATGCAATACGCCCCCACTTTTCAAAGAGTCTTGCCACCAAGCGATCTACCAAGCTTTGTATTCTCCTTGCCAGGACTAACCCACATCACTTTTACCGCAGAGGCTGTATTGCAAAAGCTGGCGTCTCTACGCAAACACAGCTCGCCGGATGTCGACACCATTCGTCCAGAGGCACTGCAAGCAGCAGCAAGCCAACTGGCAGGATCTTTAGCTCAGTTTTTCCAGCGCTGCTTAGACCAGAACCAAGTTCCCGCCATGTGGAAGCTTGGAATAATAACCCCGATTCACAAAAGGGGAAGCAGTACTGATCCCTCCAACTACCGCCCAGTATCTCTTCTTCCTATACTCTCCAAGGTCATGGAATCCATAGTTGCCGATGCACTGGTGTGCTATCTGGAAAACTGCAACATCATCACGCTTGAGCAACACGGTTTCCGTCGACAGAGGTCATGTAAAACGAATTTACTAACTGTACGCAGTAGTTAGACCGAGTCCGCTGACGCTGGAGAAGGTGTTGACGTGATCTACCTGGATTTTTCCAAGGCTTTCGATCGTCGAGATCATCGGATACTACTATCCAAGCTCCAGCATTACGGGATCGGTGACCCTCTTTTAAGCTGGATCGCCAACTTTCTACATCAACGGCAATTAGTGGTCAGAGTTCGGAGCTATTTGTCGAACCCCATGCAAGTTGAGTTTGGTGTGCCGCAAGGCTCAGTTCTAGGTCCGCGTTTGTTTTTGGTGTTTATTAATGATCTTGCACAGGGAATCGCTTCAAACTTCCTAATATTTGCCGACGATCTCAAGATCTGGCGCAGGATCTAGGCAAAAGCCGATGAACATGTGCTTCAGAGTGATTTAGATACGGTGTATCAATGGTCGAGCCAAAACTCATTGCATTTCAACGTCAGTAAATGCAAGGTACTTTCCATCTGACATCAGAGCAGCTACTCATACCGACTCGGAACGAATACACTACAACAATCAACTCTCGAACCTGACTTGGGTGTCCTGGTTCAAGATGACTTGGGTTGCTCCAGACAATCCGAAAAGTCCTCGAAGACCGGGAACCAACACGTCGGGCTGTTGCGACGGGCGTTTGGACAAATAAACAGCTCCATATTTCGACAAATGCTCAGTGCGTATGTTCGCCCCCATGTCTTATATGCAATTCAAGCACGGCATCCATGGCTGAAACACGATCTTAATGCATTGGAGCAGCCACAACGCCGTGCATCTAAGAACGTACTTGGAATGCGCAATCTTTCCTACCAGGAGAGGCTGCAACGACTGGGATTGTTCAGTGGGAGCTATCGCAGGCTACGAGGCGACCTGCTAATGGCATACTTGATTCTGCGAGACCCACATCATATGTGCCGCCCTTTACTGCAACTCAGCAGCAATACAAACCTGAGGGGCTACTCATTAAAACTCGCAGAACAATACAGTCGTCTGGAGTGCCGCAGAAATTTCTTTTCCATCCGTGTCTGTCACCCGTGGAATGCTCTCCCAGAATGGGTCGTTTCCGCACCGAAACTAACAGTATTTAAAAGACGGTTGGACGATGCACTCATCCACTTACATTCTGTTACTTAACACTACGTCTCCATCCTACACCGGGAGTATACCATGGAATTATTTGTTGTTAACTGTGGGTGCTGTGAATCTAAGAGGATCGCAGGACTACAGCGGAGCAAACGATAAGTCCTCATTTTCATATTGCAATTATTAACTATTTTACTATCCTTATCATCATTACCGTTACGTTGAAATCCCCACCAACTATCCAACGGGACTTGTAAATCAACGCTTCTTAACCCGTATAAATTCATTGTTCATTGTTCATATTGCTTTTATAGTTTGGTTAGACTTCTTATACAAAAAGTACAAAATACCTACCTGGCTACCTCTGCATACCTAGCTATATATTCTGAAGTAAAAAAGGACGCCGACTATTGAAACAAACATGAGCTCACTAAGGTCAGTTGCCACGGGATTTAACGATTCAGTATGAGGTAGCGATTTGCGCTTTACAGCAGGACGCTTCGTGTTATTATATCTTTACTATGACATATTGGATGCCTCTATGTTTGTAACGCACCTGGGTTGCATACTTGTTCTTCGAGTTAATTCACTGGTTCGGGAAGCACAAGCAACACTACGGTAAAAGTAGACACTGAGCTGCTTGCGTTTGCACAGATAGGGGTTTTAAAGTGTGTCCTATTCAGACAATATCTGCAAAGAGGTTATCCATCCATTAGCTAGTTACCTATTCAAGTAGCTCAATAAACATGAATTCTACTGCAAAACTAGAAGGAGATCCGTTTGTTTCCGCATTGATTCTTTTGGATAAAATCTTCCATTTACTTGTACTGTTAACACAGCAAAGTGCTGTATATCACTCCATATATGCCATCTTGAACAAGACGAAGGTTTGAATTATTTTAATTACGAGGAAAAGAACAAAATTCTACCACACGTTTAGGGTATATACTAGTGCCACACTCACCAGTTTACTTGATATTATCATGCATTTCAAATACGGACAATTGGAATACAGGGAAAAAGAAGTGGACTTTAAAATTTATACTTCACTGACCGAATCGCATGTAAAACGCGATCTCAAGATGAATCGAAGTTTGGTCTTTTTAGTTGGGTATACAGTTCGTTAACAGCTTGACTCTTAAATCTCTTCGGCTGTTTTACTAAAAAATGATAATGTTACAAGCAAAGTCAAGGTTTTGATTCTGCTGAATATCGCATTTCAGTTGTACATCCGATTTGCTTTTAACTTGTTGGCTTTAGGAAGTAACTAGATCAAGGCCATATCTTGCGCGTCGACATTTTGTCACGTAATTTCAGAATTGGATGTACAGCACGTAATTTTGACGCAAACTCATTCCACCCTAAACGATGGAACCTAGAGCTATCTGCAGCTAGATTGCCGTGTTAACGTCCATCAAGTTTTCTATATAACCGCGTACTACTAACATTGGGCCTGTTCTAAGAAGTAGAAGTTACTCTAAAACTTATCTTCAAAATTTGATAGTGTATTATTATAAATAACTTGAGCTAGAATAGTATAACTGGATTCATTCTGGCTACAGGACCTATTAGAATTGCAAGCAGTAGTTAAGAAGTTGTTCGAACGAGCACAGCCTTTCGTCTAGTTAGCTATCCAAGTGAATACATATTTCACTTAAAGAGAATCCACACTTTACAGCACTGAAATACCACCGGGTGTCATAATTTCAGTGAAAAGGGACAGATGCAGATAATTGTCAATACAGTTGTGTAGTCACTTCGATATGTCTCATAGGATTCGGTCTGTTTTTAAATAAAAATGATACATTTGGGCGTTCAGTAGCACTCGTTCCATCAACACACCTAACTGCAAATACTTCATGTGCATGGGAAATAATTGCAATCACATCATGGTACACCACGTGACCAAGTGAAGTTGTTTTTCTCATTTCAAACATACAGTGGAACATCCAAGTAAGACTAACTTTGGTCCCCAAATTGCCCTCTAGGCATTTCTTACGAGATCACACTAAGCAGATAGTATAAGTATTGGAGTAGTCATACCCAGTACACTTGACCAGAGTTTTCTGATATGAGAGCAAACAAAGCTGTTACCATTGTTTCAAGGAACTGCCATACGGTTTACAGCAATCTCACTCTATATACTTACCAAATATAAGAGCTTTTATAATTTATTAAAGAGTATATTCATTGTGGCACTACTTGGTTGGCCAGTGTTGATGTCGCCGCAGAACACCTTTACGGTAAAGTTAAATGGTGTACAATGAGTTTCTGCGCACTGGTAAGTTGGGGATTCATCAGTGTCGAGTTTCTACGAAACAAGTTGACAATTTACGTCATGAATCCCGTTGCATATTTGGAAAAGTATTCTGAACTATCAGGTTGTTTTTTCATACATAAATCACCCAATATATTTATCTCTGTTCCATCCCTATTTTGTTCTACTTCCACAGTGAGCTGCATGATTACGGCATTTTCAAGAAAACAAACTTTCAGAGCCGAATCCGGTGCAACTCTGTCCATACTCCGTCCGGATATCTGCACAAAATCAAGTAAAACATGTGAAAAGCCTTTTGTCCGTGGTCGCAAACAGCATGTACGTATCATGAAAGCTAGCTTGGCTAGCAGTGTTTCCAACGTTAAAATGACGGTTCGTGCCAGCAGTGCTTCGCCGAGGCCATGTTCTTCAGCGCGCCGGACCCTAGGTGTGTCTGTTGCATTTGAGTCAGCGTTGCCCACGCAAATTTGGCAAGCCTCTCCCAATCCATCTCCACCGCTAACAAAGGAAAACAGTACACGATGCAGTGGTCGAATGGTTTCTTCAGTATCTAACGAAAGGAAGGTCTTTCTACACGATAGACGAATCTCCAAACGGCTGCACAACGCGAGAATTACGAGGCATCCGTTAAATGAATGGATTTCGGACGTGGAAATGGACGGTAGCAGCGATGATACAGACTGTTCATTCGCACACAACCTTTCGGAAAGCAGCAACTCTAGTAACAACGAATACGGTACCGATTCGAAATGTCACAACATCATAGCAAGCAGCAGCACAACTACTGGAACCACAGACAGCAACTCCAGTTTGGATATTCAGTCAGCACAACAGGAATCAATTTCTCTGATGGAAGCTTTGGTCCCAATGAGCTTGGATCATGAGTTGAAGGAACGAGAGTATTCGACACGGAATGAATACAAGCGCCGTGCGGCAATTGCAAATGATGCGAGCAGCAGTAGTACCACAAGCGATGAGGATTTGGAGGCCATGGGTTGGGATGAGAAGACTATCCTGGCACTGGTAAATAGGGGTAAGGGTCGGTCACTTCAAGCTCATGCATTACATTCACAAGCTGGACAACAGATCTTATCAGACGTACACAGCCTACCATCAAGCTCTTCCAAGACGAACACGGGGCACAAAAATAGGCGTTTTGCAACAGGTTCCCAAACGCATGCACTTCCTCTTAAGGTTGAACGTGATCAGCACACCCAAGTGTACGGACCGGTCATTCACCCGAACTCATGTGTGCTTAGTCGACGAGATCGTGGACAGTTGAGTAGGAAGCAACTCCTTTACAGAAATAATTCTTACGGTGGACCTAAATCTATCTCACAGAATATGATATCTGATGTCTTAGCGATTGTGCTACAAAGCTATAAACCCCCATCTGGTTGGGAACAAGAGTACAACGTTCTTTCTGTACGCAGAGGTGATTACGTCTCTGTTCTCAACCAACTTGGGTGCAATGCCATATGGGGAAAAATGTTAAGTTCCAACGCGATTGACAATCCACCACCAGGATTAAACCTAAAAGAAAAGTGTGAATCACCTAAGGCATATGCCTGGGTTTACGTTAGAAGGTGGTGTGTGGATCACTTGGTATCAACTGGACCACCAGGCTACATTCCTGCTCAATATTGTAAACCACTGTCAGAAGTGGATGCGCTTAATCTGTGGCAAAGAAGTCTACAAAGAAAGGTCTTTCAGCGGCGACTAATGAGTGTACACACATATGCGTCCAAGAAATCAACGGATGTTTCTGAGAGGTGCACAATACACCAACCGTTTGATCGTTTCGAGTTATCTGAATTGTCATTTGACCTGTCAAAAATTGACATACAACCGATAAGTCAAAGGGAGAAGTGTAAGCTACATCAACTAGTTCCTCAGCGAATTCCGTCGAATCAGTACTCTATCGGTGACTCGGACGTATCCCCACGTGAGACGCTGCTTTACGATCCATCTGGGCTGCCACCACCTCCACCGGGATTTGGTTCAGGTGGATCGATTGGCTCTGAAACTGAAGACAAAGATTCTGGAAGGGGTCCTAGTTCCGGATCTGAGTGGAGTAGTGGGCGCGGATGCAGTTCAAATACAACGCTCAACTCAGCAACCGTTGACAGGATGATGATTTTAGAGAAACCCAATGGACTGTGTTCAGATAAACAAGCAGAGGATAGCCGAATAAAATGGAACTCGCGCCAGTGCCCCGTTTTCTCTGGCGATCATAACTCTGCCCAAGAGGATGATGGTGTGCACTTCCAAAGATATGAAATCCGAGGTTCATCTGCAAACGAAGAATTCTCTCAGCAGTTGGTGGAACAGACTGTTCAACTCCCGAAAGACACATATCCCAACCGTGACCAATCATCATATTTTCCAGTTTCCATTGCCCTGAGCACATGTGTGAATTGCAAGCCTGTGTTGTCGCTGAAGGCAAACGGTACTTCAACTTCAGTTGCAACAGGCGTACACGGTGAATCCCGGCCGATGCGAAATGAATCGACTATAAACCCGGGAACTTTTGGAATAACTGATATGCATCTGTCGGATCGAGAGGTGAACCAGGTTGGTGCAGAAAACTGCATAGAATCGGCATGCTGGGAACCGTACAAAACAGTGATCCACGTAAAAGAAAATACACTCGAAAAATTCACTTTGGTGTAAATAGAATACGATAATCTAATTTTACTGACAGCCCTGCGGCAAGTCTGAGAGCTCAGGTGTACAAATAATTTAAGATTTCACTGAAATTTGAAACAAATCGAGTTTCCCTATGTACATTATTGCTGCTAATGAGTTTATTGAAGATAAACGATTCACCAAGCAACTGCATTTATTTCCAAATGCCACGCTAAAAGATTCCAAATGTTGTCTTTTCTAATCTGAAAATGCATCTTACCACTATCCTTGTACTTGTAGTATGTAAATTTCATGCATTACTTTTCGTACATTTTCTAAAGAGGATGAATCTACCGAGCACGTTAGAAAGCATGCGAACCAGAGAAGGCCGTCTAATTTCGGAAGGCGCCGCCATGAGCTTTGAACTAGTGCAAAGTAAACACCCAGTTATTACGGGTGATTAAACATTGGTTTTACAAACTTATCTTGCTGCTCTGGTGGGAATCTCTAAATAAAACTGGGATCACACATTATAAGCAGAAAAGCAACCCCTTCTCTTTGTGTTTATGAAGCAGTTGTTTGGTTTTATACCTTGTCTTACAGCACAATCTGGGAAAGGAAATATGAAGATTATGAAAAGTGGGTAAAGACAGATTTGTATTTGAACACAGACGGCTGATATGGGAGTGCGTTCCAGGGATGGCACACACAAAGGAAAATAATGTTCTACTCCTTCCAAACGACTGTACCACGCTCACAGTTTCAAGGCATGACCTATCAGTTTAGTGTTATACTGCTGGACTCCAGCAAAGAGCAGCACACATGATTAAGACATCGTAGGTCCAAGTAAGCACTTAGCACCTGGCCTTATCTTCAAAGATACCTCGGCTTAATTCTATCGATGATATCAAATTTTACTCGTATGCGGGAATACATATTCCAGTGATGTGCTGTATTTGCCTACGCTAGGTTCTTTTAGAGCAGCGAGCTAATGTTTCACATATGCTACCAGACTTGAATAACGTATTCGTGATGATGATTCGAAGTATTGAGAGTTCACAAAAATACAGAAGTCGGCGTGCCATTACTCCCACCACAAGTGTCCGCTGCTAGCTCCCATTGCATTTAGTATTTAGTAGGGACAACTCGAGAAGTCCTGAATCAACATGACAAGATCAAGTTTAACAGAAGAGATTTTTGTGCACCTGCGCCTTGTTTGTAGACTTGGGTGTTCTGAGTTATGAAGAAACTTTTCTTTTGGTTGACTACAAACTACACTAGATTACATGACGTTCATTGTTTTACCAGATCCAAGTCGCGGCAGCACAGTTATCCATCGATTTTCATGTTATTCTATGGTACGGTACGATTTTATCGGTAGAAAGTGAGAAAATTATGGCGTACTTCGTCTCAGTTCTGCAATAAATGCCAAAAATGAACGTTGCTCTGGCACTGGGCTCTATGACAAGCCACCTTCCCCCAGTATGTTGCTAGTTGTAAAGCTTCGAACTCTAGTTGTCTTTACAAAAGAAGTTAGCGATTGGGCTTCGGAGAGTATCATCGATTGCATAAATCTTCGGCTTGAAAAGCATGATCCGGTGACATAATTGTAAAATATCTTTCGAAAATTCAGGGTAGGCCTGTCAACGCCCTCGATAGCATTGGCTGTGGAAGTTCAATCGCATTTTATTAATTGATTCATATTGCACGATCGTTTAATATGACTACCGTTGTATTATGCCGAGGGTACCATTAACATTGGCAGTGATGAATTCCATGACGCTAAAAAGCACCGAAAGCAGAGTTTTGGATGATATTTCTCAAGTTCACTTCCACTCTTGTTATAACACGTCCTACTTTGTTAGACTCTTATATTGGGAGCTGGTGAAACATCACCGATATCCCACGTACAGAGTAGTCGATGGTATTCTGATTGCTGTGGATCAAAAAACCTAGCCGCCAGATGTTGTACAGGAGAGGTGAGACTGCAGACAAACCGAGTAACTTCGCACGACTCCACCGAGACCCAGAAAAGTGATAATGGCGGATAACAAGTGCTCGTTTACTGACTCAGGCAAAGGCAATTGATGTATTCCACACCTGCTTATATATAGTATAATTGTATAACAACAAAATACACTAATTATGGATGAAAGTAAATTTCGGAAAGCCGCATGAGTTTCAACGTAGTGGTTGTGTGCTGTAGGAAACTTCGTTCAGGCCAGTGTGGCCTGGGATTGAGAATACCACCTTGCCCTGATGAAACATCAGTTGGTTAACCAGCTTGACTTAGCAGGCACAAGAATATCAATGATGAGAGCTTAGGTAAAGCATGTGCAGTTCGTGTTGACAAAACTACATATTCAATGCGAACAACTCAGCTGTTGCCTGCGCACTTTGAATAGGCACGTGACAATATTGAGGAGGTAACGCAAGAGCCATTGGCGCAGGTTCTGCAGAGCTCTGCGAACTCCGTCATAGCTTGCTTTGTGAGTTGGAACGATTATCCAAAGCTCTTCCACGGTAGGACTCTGGTTCTGACTTAAGCTTCACTTGATGTACTGAGTTTACGGTGCATCAGGGGTTCCGAAGGACTCTTAGTATCTTTGCGTAAAAATTATCCACTTTAGATGAATTGGAACTTGGCAGCGACGTCAGTTCCCACAGTGCGCTTTGGTTAGCAAAAGAAATGCGGCTGAGCACTTATTGTAGGACGACGATAGCAGCACGGTCAAATAACGGCAAATAACTGTGAGATTAGGTAGTATATTGCATCTACAGAACGTTGGATCTTTTTGTGGCAGTGCTCAGTGGGCTCTCGGCTGTTCTGCATGCAGGAATTCTCTGCTGTGCATGTTAAAGTCCGATAATATGCTTATAAATCAGTTAAGAAAATTGGCTGATGGTTCTCGCCATGTCCTGCTGCCGCGCTACGTTATCTTCCTGAAGAAGTTGAGGGCAGTGGTTGCGTTCGTTAACCCAGTCATTCCAAGTATCGAGAGGTACGAAGAATCTATAATCCTTTCGCGTTGCAGTGCGTGTTGTTATGTATTTAAATCTTGCGTTCAATAGCAAAGGTTGTTTATTGCCCGCCGCCAGCCTTTGCGTCTGAGGCGTCTTCCATCAGTTTATTCAACTTGCTGATGAATTCCTCCACGTCAACACTGGGGGACCTTCAGCAAGGAAAAGCAATGTCGTCGTAGGGACGATGTAACACAACATGTCGCAGTATGTGTTGTTACGCATCGTCTTAATTTCGACATAAGGATGATCATAGCAACAGAGAAAGAGGTAAACTTTGATTGCATAATCACTGGAACCACATGGGTGAACCACAGTTTTGTATCGATTATATCCAAACGTTGATGAGAATATAGTTAGCTGCTCTAAACTCAGTGGATGAAGCGGTTTGTTTGAAACTCGGACCGCTAGAGCTAAGCTCATGAAGCTTCAGTTTGAATCATTCTCTAATGACGGCAGTGGATTTCAATGAATGAAAATTGAAATAACTCGTGATTAAGATGTGAGTAAGTTTACGATTTACATCAGTGCACGGAGTTGTTGTCAGGCAACAGATCGTTTATGGCTTAAACTTTGATGGAAGGCATTCCAAGATTACAGGATAGGTGAAACCAAAGAGTATCAGGAACCGATCTATCTAACTTCGCCATGGCTTTTACAATAAATCACTTTTGATTCTGTTATTATCCACAAGCGTAAGATCATCACCGGCCATCCCGGCGTCCGAGTAGTTCTCAATAATATATGGGCGGAATGGCTCTTCTACATCTGAGTCTGCTTACGTGGAAAAGTTTGAGCGTTAAATTAGAAGTCGGTTAACTTTGTGGACTACAGGAGTTCATTGAATGCTAAAGAAGCTGTATTACCATATATCGAGCGATTCAAACTCGGTCGTTGCCGGTTTTTAATTCGTTGATTGTACCTTGCCTGTGTCCTGATTTAGTCATTGCGTGTGCCTTTCTTTTGTCAAATCGGATTCAGAATTGAGTAATTGTCTCGCCAAGTTGGTCCCTTCTGTAATCACTGGTAGAAATGCCTATTCAGGCCACTTGGTGTCTGGTCTTTGCCCATCGTATGCAAACTTGGACAGGGGTTTGAACTATGGTTGTGTCTGCTTTCCACCAATGCTTCTGCCAATGTCTTGGATTGTATCGCGTTTCGATATTTCTTGGTCGTTGTGGTTTCACATCCTGACTTTTACCTTCTAGACTGTAGGCAGGTAGAGGTTCAGACATGCCATTAATGATGAGTGTGGTCGAGAGCATTCATCTACCGTATTCTTCAGGTCTGTTTATTTTGGAACGAAGCTCCAGGCTGAGAAACTTTACACAGGATTGATCGTGCACAGAACATGCTGAAAGCAAAAGGACGACGGGTGCTTCTACAGGTACTCTACTGAATCTTGGTTTATCAGAGTTGATCAATTTCAAACGATGGGTGATTCGTATATTCTTTGGACATCCGATTTTGATACATGCCAGATTTCAAAACGATTTTCACTGGTCAACCTATTCAAACAAATTGCCTTTTAAATTGATGGGGTTAGTCGCAGCGACATAAGCACCTATTACAGTGAAGGCCCTATTATTAGAACCCTATTTTACTGATGCGCAAGGAAATGTGGCAGCTTCTTTGGGTGTTCAGTCCGATAGTGCTTAGCATCCGTGTGCTTGTTTAATAGTAATTTGGGTTACTAGGTACCTGAACATGCGCAATCCAAAATACGATCTCTTCGGTGACATTTTCCTTGACTATTGAAAATGTACCTAAAGTCCTTGGGAATGTTGATTCATTTGGGACTTTAGAGCTGAAGCTGCAGCGGATGAGTATATGACAACAAACTTCATAGTAGGAGCAGATAGTGTTGCTTGCGTGGCTGCTTAATCAGCCGCATATCTCAACTGATGCCCTAATTTCATTGTCGATAGTAACGCATGACCATCAGGACTCCAACCACATTAGCCTTGAGTTTAGCCAAGTCGGAGAGGACAAGGGGCGATTGGGCCTTACCACTCGTACTTACGAGGAAAGATTCTGTCCAGTTCTAGTTTTCTAACAGCTAACACAATTTGCCCACCTATTTTTGCTACCAACAAATCAATTGGACCTTGCTCAAGCTGTTCGTAAGTTGTCACTAAATTTGAACTCGTCGGTCAAGCACAGAATGCACTTACTTAGTGGTATGATCGAACGTGCTACGCAAAACTGGAGCAACTTTTGCGCTTCCTCACCTCACTTTATGATAGTTTGACTCAGTTGAAGTAGAAG